TCTGAAAAGCGTAAAGCAGTAGTAAAATTGTCACTTCGCAAATATACAAGGGAAGGACGGTCGCTGGCTGAGAAGCGTCTGGCGGAGTGCGGGAGGCGTGGTTCAGATTTGTACCACGGTGGCACGAGGGCCAGACATGGTTGGAAAACTCAAGAGTTCAGCGACTCGCTTGCATTTCTTCATGTATTTGTTCTTGATTAATCTTTAATCTTAAATAACCCTACATTTTGTTTATTGGATGTAATGTAAACAGATCTTTAGGCACATGCATCACTGATGCGGTAACCTTAGCCGAACCGCTGGCAAGGTGCCAAAACCATCTGAAAATAGTGTTTGAGCATGGTAGTGCCCTATATGTGGCGACCGCGTCACCGGCGGTGTGCGCTCACCCTCATCAGTAGGCTTTTGGAGTGTGGTGGAAGCGCGTCGTCCTGGAGGGGGCACGGCTTAACTTAACAGGTGAGGGAGGGCGGTCTGGTGCATCAGCGTTCTGAAGCGGCAGAAATGTTACAGGCAGCTCGAGCCTTGAATAGTTACGGATAAAACACACGAGTTGCAATTTGCATAGAACTTGCTACTTTCGTACTTTATCAGGAACTTCATCTGATGATTATGGCAGAAGCTCTAGACTGGTTCTCCTATGCATTATAGCACCTACCTGGAGCCAAGAATAAGGATTCGGTCACAGATTAAGGAATTCAGAACTTGCTGAGAACCTATTCAGAGTAATCGACAGCGCTGTAGGCACGGGTTATTTAAAGAGCTCCATAACCCTCACTTATCTACTTTACTAATAATAGAACAACACTGAGGAACAGTTCAAGATAGTATGGGTTTCTCATCTCCCCCTACGCTGCCTGTTTCTGCCGAGAAAATACAACAAAATAAAAGTTTGCTCGAGGCAGTCGAGATTGGTTTTGCAAGCAATCACTGTTTTCAAAAGTTGTGTTTACGACTTGAATGTGCCCTTAGAGACACGTACCCCTAAACTCACTGTTCATAAACAGGCAACCACACACATCAAACAGCCGCACGCATCAAACAGCCACACGCATCAAACACACACACACACACACACACACACACACACACACACACACACACACACACACACACACACACACACACACACACACACACACACACACACACACACACACACACACACACACACATATTCAGTGTGATTTTGTAGACCTATTCAACAACGAATCAGGAGTCCCTTTCGATACCATTGTTTATATCACGAGTGTCTGGGTAGAATGAGACAAGAGGCAGACGGATCTTTCTAATGATAACTCGCGTGTGTCGCCCCTTCCGACGCTAATTTTAGCGTGTATGAGGGATGCCGCTGTGCGAATCCGTCCTCTCTCCTCGCGAGCGACGCTCTTTTCTGCTGCACTGTGGATTTTGTCCTCGTGGCTCGCTGGCGGTAACATTAATGTCTGTTTATTTGTTGTAGTTATTATTTTAGTTATTATGATTACAATTTGTGTTCCTGACAACAGCCCGTCAATATGTTTCTTACGAGCCACATACCCACCACTATTATTTGATATCAATAGCATGAATGGCTTATCACATTTATCATTTTATAAGTGACAGCGATAGGTATTGATAATGCTATTATTGATGCTATATATTTTGGTAATTTAATTATTTTATCACTGCTTTAAGAAGAATATTAACACACTATTGTAAGTCGTGCAAATAAGAGAAGTAGATAACTTTAGGATTAACATTTTTATTGATGACTTGAGGCGTTCTCTTGGGGGCTGCTCTTCCTATATCTAATCATCGATCTGTCTGTTCATACTGTTTAGCACATTTATATATATATATATATATATATATATATATATATATATATATATATATATATATATACATAAATGAATACATATATATATATATATATATATATATATATATATATATATATATATATATATATATATATATATAATAATATATATATATATATATATATATATATATATATATATATATAATGAATATATATATATATATATATATATATATATATATATATATATATATATATATATATATATATATATATATATATATATATATATATACATATATATACATATATATATATATATATATATATATATATATATATATATATACATATATATATATATATAATATATATATATATATTATATATATATATATATATATATATATATATATATATATATATATATATATATATATTTATATATATATATATATATATATATATATATATATATATATATATATATACATATATATATATATATATATATATATATATATATATATATATATATATATATATATGTATATATATATATATATATATATATATATATATATATATATATATATATATATATATATATATATATATATATATATATATATATATATATATATATACTTAAATGTCTATATACATATATGTATATATATATATATATATATA